CCTAAACCCTAAACCCCAGGTCAGCCCAAGCATGGCCCCAGCCTCTGCGAGGATTGTCGGGGAAGGCGAGTAGCCGAGCCTGGGCATGTTCGGACATTGCTGCATACAGGGTTCTTTGGGGTTGTAGGGATCAGGGAGAGGCAATACAGGGTTTCGAGATAGTACACCTTGTCATGCAAAATCAATAAAAAAAAAGAGAGAGAACGGAAAATGAAACTGAAACTGTGGTTCCAGCAGTTCAGGGTCCTTTCAAATGCTTATACAAGGAATAAAACATTAGGAGCGAGAAAGGGCGCCGGTAAATTTCAGAAAGCATCAGTGTTCCTTGGAATGGAGAGCCCTCAGGACCCCAAGGAGATACTAGGACTACAGAAGGATAAATTGAGTCCCTATGAAATATTCTATAGGAGAAAGACTCCTATGACAGGAACCAGGAAGGGCCACAGCATGACAACCAGAAGCTCGAAAGGCCCCACAGCCTGTGGCAGCCAACACTTGAAGAGACACAGGGAAAGCCAATCACGGAAAGGGACCACACCGCAATAGCCTTAGGACTTCCTCGACTTACCAGATTTGCGTTGTGTTAGGAGGTATTATGTAGGAGCCTGCACACAATCACGTGCAAGCAATTTGAGCGGAATTACGGGGTTCCTTGATTTCCTAATTTTGCAGGGTTGTATTGTTTTAGGTCAGGGGTATAAGACAAGATGTAGTAAAGGGAGACAGAGCGGGATTAGCATACATATATGTACATGTGGAGTACATGTTGTAGTGGGAACAATATGCAGAGGATGCGATTCCCTCTTGTAGACTTGGCCCCCAAGAGTCTGCTCCAGACCCCAAGCAGGTACGGTTGCAGGTGGGTACGAGGAGGTACCAGGCAGAATCAGATAAACTACTGTAGGCAGGCATGTTACTAAACACGAGTGCTATCTACACGCGTATCTATGGGAGACAAAGGGAATTACTTACCGGCTACAGCTTGGGCTTTCGCATACCTAGCTTTTACTTCATGAAGCTTTGATCATGGGGACCCCAATTGTAGCCCCAACAAGATATCCTGGGACCTTGGCACGCTGCTGCTGGGGTTTAGGGTTTAGGGGTTTAGGGGTTTAGGGTTTAGGGGTTTGGGGTTTAGGGGTTTAGGGCTTAGGGTTTAGGAGATAGTCTCTGACACCAAAGAAAGGAAAAAAACAATTCCGGTCCACGCGGCTTGTTGAGCATCTGCTTGAAGTCAGCCTCCGGTATTTCTGGACCTTCAGTTGTGGGACTGCAAAATACTTTTGCAGCGTCTGCATGGGGAAGCTAAATCCCGCCCACCAACCCTGCAAAAATGGGTCCTGCTGGCCGTCTCATAGCCTATCCAATCCATATCTTGAGCACTTTTCCGTTAAGCACTCACTCGTAATCCCACACTTCAAACACCGGGACCCAAGCCCTTACCCAACAAACCCTGTTGCTGCAGGCTCAGCGTTGGCAAACCCCAAACCCCGTAACCAAACCGCCCGAACCAGCCCTAACCCTGTCACCCGACACGCCCAACATCCACGTGACCAAAAAGAAGAAGACCCCAGCTCTCCAGAGCCTGCATTGGAATGCTGGAGCTTGGCCACCAAGATTTGCGAAGCCGATGTCTCCTCTCTTCCAAAGCTCTGAATGATCAGTAATCCCACCGCCATGGCTCACACGATAGCTCTTGCAATTCCAGCCAGTTATTTTTCAAAAAATCTTCAGTGATCCCTCAAAACGCTTTTTCTCATCATCCAAAAGATCGAGTCTTTGCGTCTGCGTCCATCTTGTCGGAAGGCTGCGGGGCGCTGCCATCCGATCTTAACCCTCTGGAGGCAGACAGCATCCAATGAAAAAGATGATGAGAGGGGGGGTATACTTGCAAAATACTCGTTGAAACAATGATGGCAGTGGGTATGTGCCAGCGTTCTATGGAGACTGCATAGCAACTCTCTGACAAGGTCTGCTCAAAAATTTTTAAGAATCGTACACTGAAGGACTTAATCCCTCACCGAACGTCAAACGCAATAGAACGTGCCACATCTCTCCGATGAACCTCAGTAATTTCGAACTTGAACAGTGCCATTTTTCATATCTCAAACAAGGAGGAGGGCGGAGTGGGGAAGGGGACAATGCTGCTGACGCGCCCAGCTTGTCCTACAAGTGACCCCTATAACATCACACGTTTTTCATGTCTCTCAAATTCGGGGCTCTCTCCCCAGCACTGCTCGGCTCACAGCGTACTTGCTCAACAGGTGAGGACCACCCTTGCCACTCAGAGCTCATCAAGCGGCCTCCGAGGACCAGCAGCCTCAAATGCCAGCGGCCCAGCTTGACACCCATAACCCCGAAACAGCTGCTGTTTTGTGCGTTCTGCTAGGCCCTCTGAAACAAGTAGAACTCCTAGACTACCGCTACCGCCACTGATGCTGCTGCTGAGGCTACTTGTGCTACCACCACTAGCACAATCACGGCCACCCCGCCGCACAGCAGACCACCAACCCAAGGGCCTCCAGAGCCTTGAGGAGCTCTTCTGTGCAGGCGGCCGGATGTTTCAGCTGCGCCTTTGGGCGAAATTGTGTTTTTAGCTGCCCCTGTGAAGCAACGCAATGATTGCTGATTGGGATTTCGGATTGAGGCTCCAGTTTGGGCGGCTGAGATTCATGTTTAGAGATTTCTTTAGTCTCAGCAGGCGCATCGCATTGCAGGCACGATTGGAGCGTAAGGCTTCCACTGCTCCGTCACCGGTAGCGCCAGCTTTTAAGGTTCAAGTTTGAAAGGGTCTCTTTGGCTGCTCGCTGGTGATAAAGTATTCCTCTTGCGGTGTATGGAGGTCCTTCTGCAAGCAACCTCTTACCCCTTACAGGTCGTGCCACTATCCATGGAAGTCGCGAGAGGGGTCAGGGGCTGTGGTGCCATTGGGACTTAAGCATGTCCACCGCATCTTGCTGAAACCCAGTGGTCAGGCTTAGTGCTTGCTGCAATGCATATACAAATCTGGGGAAAAGTTTTGCCAGCAGGCAGCTCACTTCCCCGGAGGATCTAGCTGAATTCAACCACCTCAAGAAGCAACAACACTGCTTTCACGGTCCTCCTTACTACCCGGTGACATCCTTTAACCCCAGTCATTCACCCCAACGAGGAGGCCCACTGTGCCTCGTAGGTGCAGCGACTGGGCTCCGACACATCGATGAGTTCCTCCTGGCATTGGAACTTTGGGGTTTTCGCCATGTTTGAATAGATGCTCCGGGCATTCCTCTGAACTGTTTAAACTGAAGCATGCTTTCCTTGGATCCATAGCCCTGGCTCAATGACAACCGGAAAGTGTAAGGCCAGGACAAGAGCTCTAGAGGCGGGCTACGGCGGCTACGGACGAGGATCCACGGCGAACGCTGAAGTTTTTCCAGTAATGCACTTGGTGTCAGCAACGTAACCCTAAACCCTTTTTGCATCCAGGACTCTTGAAAGAATGCCGGGCGTTGCGAATAAACAAGACATCAGCTCTCTGGCAGCCTAAACCCCTAAGCCCTAAACCCCAAACTCCTAACCCCTAATGCCTATATTGCCCGTGCCATTGGCGGCTCCGAGCGGACTAAGGCGTTGCGGCTTACACTGTTCCAGGGCAACATGGGGTGCTGCCATAAAAACAGGGGTACCTTAAAAGGGGAGGATAAGGGTTATTTAGGGTTTAAGGTTCCAAAGGGTGTACCTTTCTTTTTGCTGGGTCTCCAATAGTAAGGATTAACATATATTGTGCTTCATATTGGGGTCCCCTATTGATGGAAACGGTGCGATCATTCGAAACAAGCCAGAAGTTTGATCAGCTCGAGGACGTGGAAAATAGGTAACCGGACATTTTCCCCATCAAACTCCAGTAAGCTTAACCCTCCGTCCATATCATTGTAGCACTCACGTAACCACTGCCCCTTAATTCCTGTAGCCTCAGGCTGGATGGCCCCCAAAAAACCCAAAATGAAAGAAGGAGGAACCCTAAACCCTAATCCCTGAACCCTAAACCCTGAATGCCCAGCCTTGGAACCGCATTGGAACTTCACCTTCAGACTTCTCTCCTGGGCTGAAACGGTTGGTGCTTCTTGGGGTGTAAGGTGGGGTAATGGCTGCAGGTGCTTGTGGACCACTGAGCAGCTTAGAGGCTTTAGAAGTACTTTCTGGGTTTAGGGGTTTAGGGGTTTAGGGGTTAGGGTTTAGGGTTTAGGGCCCTGTGTTGAGCAATGTCAAATTATAGTCCCCCTGACGTAAATGGAATATAGCTTTGGGTATATTCTAATAAGACCCCCACATACCCCATATTCTATCTACTTAAGGGGGACTATAAAGCAGTGGGGCTTGCATGTCCTTCGTCTATGTATGACCTACGAAGACACAAGTCAACTGGCGTGTCCTTTTCAAAGCGGTTCGTGCATTTCCGAAGCCTCACGCCACAGAAGTAAGCCCCGTAAGCTCTAAATCATGAGATATCATAAGACCCGACTCCAAAGCTTGAAGTCATAGCTGGGCCTCGGATATTTCTCCTCGAGACCTCAGACTCTACATCCAGAGACCTTGCAGGTTGCTAGGCCTTTTGTTTGAGCGAGGACCTGCGGATCTGGTCTGCAGCTGTAGGAACTTAGGAATAGAATATGCCTACGGCTGACAACGGCAACGACCAGGCATCAAGGACGGCCTGCAATCCCATTCTTGTTGCTACTTCGTTTCAGAGCATCCAGTGTTGGACACGGTGCCCGTCTAGCCCTTAAACCCTAAACCCTGACCCCTAAACCCTAATAACAAGAAACTGCACGCTGCCAAGCTACAGGACCGCCAGGGCCTCGGCCAAGTTGAGCAGGCCCACCACGACACAAACTATTGCATCTATGACTACAGGCAAGGGACTGTTTTGCTGTTACCTGCTTCAAGCTTTAATCTTGTCTTACCTAGAGCTGCAGCGCAGAATGCTAAGCTAATGTTTTGAGGGTTCTTGCCGGCTGCAAGAAAACCGCATGAGAGGCTGGTTTTACTTGGCCTGAGTTGACGCAGAGCGCAGTCTTCCGGGCTTTGGGCTTTTGAGTTGGGGCCCAAGATCGAAGTCTGAGTGTATGGATTTTGGGGGATTAGTGGTCTGTGGCCTACAGCCCTGATCATCCCGCAGCACCTGAGACATGTTTTGATGGAGATGGCCTCAGGCAGTGCGCGCTAACGTCGGTAGGCAGCCATATGGCACGAGATGGCCGCAGGAAGCGTATGCTCCGAAACAACACAGCAACTTACGACAAACACATCCTCTTAAGTGCCGTTTAATCCCAGCACTTCTTGTACATTGCCTGATCCCCACATTATGGGCGCCAAAATGTGGGGTCCCACTTCGGGAATACTTATCATGCAAATAATGTGGGGTACATATGTAAAGGGTCCCTGATGTTCGGAAACCCAACAGAAAGTTGCCGGGTGGCAGTATTGCCCTGCAGTGAAGCTGGCGATTCCCGGCGCTTCCCAGCCCTGCCATCGGCCCACCGAAGTGCTGTCCTCTTTTCTCACAAAGTTGGTGCTCAAACTTCTTGAAGCACTGCAGGGATTTATAGTGGTGCCCCCCCCCGCTCCACAGCAGGAACTCACATTAAACTAGGCATACTGGGCAGCCTAAGCTGCATGGGGTTTACAGGGGCTCCCTTGGGGTCTCATGAGGGAATCTAAACTGGGCCTCCAGGAAATAGAATCAGTGAGAAGAGATAGTTTTGTGAGGTTTCTGAAGCGGATGACGTCCCTGGAACTGTCTACTTCACTAACTAGGGAATGACACGGACTGAAATGATCCTCCCAACCTAGACCCAACAATAGAGGAGATGCGGCTCTTTGCAGGTTAGAGTATTAGTATTACCACCACCACCACCACCACCACCACCACCACCACCAACACCACCATTGTAACTACGACTACAAACCATTGCAGCACGCATTTTCCATTGTTCCATGTGTCATATGTCTCCCTGCTTCCTCAAGCCTAATCCCTTAACCCAAAACCCTGAAGCCTAAAATCCTAAAACCTCAACCAATTATGCGGCGACCGTGCGGCTGGCCTGCTTGGCATTGTCGAAGAAGCCTTGAACAACATCCCAACATGGCTGTTGCAAAAAAAAATGGAAAACCGCTACGTGAAACCTCAAAGAACATCAAAACACTATCTGTAAAAGGGAACCTCAATGATTTGGAAACCTCAGTATCTTGAAATTGGGTTAAAGGTCCCACCCAGGTCTGCCCCCTGACCGTGGCTAGGGCGCAACAGCTATCAGACCCTTCACGTGCACCGCTTCTGTGTTTTTCTTGCTCGCGAATCCTTTATCCTGCCCAAAACGTGCGAGAGCCTGGCCCCAGTACGATCGCCCTCTACTGTGCCCCTCAATAACCCCCAAACACGGTTTGGGGTTCAGGCTTTCGGGAGTATGTAGTGACCCTGGGGATAAGGATGATAAGCACGTCTGCGTGTTTATGCCGTGGGGTATGTCCCCAACTGCGCATGCCAGATAAAGCAGTCCGAAGCACAGATCTTGTACTTGTACTCGCCGATGCTCTTCCTTGGCTGCGTGCTGTTCAAGGCATCTGAACTAAGCTAATGTCCAGGTCCTCCAAAAACCTATAAATCATAGGCCATCAAAAGGGGGACAATGCTTTCAAGGCATCCCTGCACCCCATGAATCCAAAGAGAAAATCACTCCGAAGTGCCGCATGGCTTCTCGATGCAGCGTCCGTCTAAGCCGGAATAGGGCAGCTCCCACTCTTCCGAGCCAGATTTCAGCTTCTTCTCCTCAGTTCCACTGGCAGTCTGCCGACATAAGCCCTTTCACGGACTGTACCAAGTGAGCACCAACATATCCCCGTCTAGCGCAGGCAGTAAGCCCAATCTGCCCGCCCAGCCAAAGAAAAAATGTCAGCTGACAACTTCACTGACCTTTCTACTATCAGGTTCCTGAATATTGCTGTTCGCCGGCTTTCCAAAATAAGCAAGATCATTCCTGATAACATAGGGACCTGCATGAATGGACCCATGACTTTGATAAACTGGGATTTCACAATGACAGCAGGGACAACATCTCAGGCCTGGAAGTCGAAACGTCCAGAAGTGGCAGCTGAAGACAGCAAGATCCCACGAACAGATGCGCACAGTAGACAACAAGGAAGTACCCATGCTGCTGCAAGCCCGAATTAGGTTGAAGCCTACTCACTTAAGTCGTTTGTCCGCGAGGCGCTTGACCTCAGAACCCCCGTTTAGCTCACAAGATGCGGGCCATTTTGAAGAAGACTCTGCAAAATTTCTAGCAAAGGCCTGCCTGACACAAGAAGTCTTGGCTGGGAGCATATTCAAGATAAGCAGCCAACTCTTCTACGCGCACCCGAGCGGTCTTCAGCGCCTTCTCAACGGACTCGTGGAGATCCTCCGCCTGCGAGGAGACCCCGCCCGGCCCCCTCCAAACCAGCCATGGGCCATGTCCCATGAATCCTAATTCAACGTGAAAATTTGGGAGGATGCCTCGCATCCTCCTTCCAGATCACAGTGCGGATTTCTCATGATTGTCTGTGCCCAGCCTGCTGCAAAGCGCGCTCAGCCGGGCTCTTGGTGCTGGCAAACCACCTCCTGAAAGATTGGGGGTGAGTCTTGCTGCCTCATACACAACTGCCTGTACACCATATCAAAGCCTACTCTCAAGCACATCGTCCGCAACTTTGCTAAACCATGAAAACTACTCGGATTCTTTCAAAACTTCAGATTTCATTCAGTCCGCGTCACCGCAGGCTTTCCCACTTCTCCACCAGCCGGGACCAGAGCCAGGCACCCGGGCGGCGCGACGATGAGGGCGGTGGGGGTGAGGGCCTGATTTGAAGTTGAATTGCTGGGGGGGCGGATTCTGTAAACCTACCTGGCCTGCGCAACATACGGATTGTACAGGAATTGTGCAGAGGCATTCGGGAGAGCTGACTGCATGGGAGATAAATGAAAGGGGGTTATATGAATGTAGCTTGCTTTTCAGCATCCCGTTTTCCAGCCAGGACTGGTCTTCCTTCATGGTTATCTTGGTTTAGGCACCTGGACCTAACCGAATTCTGAAGCATGCCTTTCTTCGCACACTCCAGACAGATTGACAGGCTCTTTCTCTTTGTGAGGGTTTCACTACGAGTCTTTGGATACGAGTTCTACTGGGATTGATTGCTGAGTACAATCTAATCATTCTTGTTGGTACAGGCACAGCGGCTCGTCTAGAACATCGTGGGTTCCCTAATTTGGTCCCTGATGTCTGTAGCTGGACCTGCTCTGGGCAACTACCAACCCCACTGTAAACCATAAAATCCTGCGCCCCACACCCTGTTCTTTTACACAAGGGTTCTCAAACTTGGGTCTACATGGGATTGATGATCTTGCTCGTCATGTACGACAGCCTCTCTAAACACACAGGTCCAGCCCAGAGGCACAGGGGCTGCCGGGCCCTCCGCATCATCATCGGGCGGAAATCCAGGTTCGTCCTTCAGGGCCTCCTCAAAGGGGTCGTCCTCGTCCTGTCAGTAACTCCGTTGGGTCAGGCCGGGGGTTTCAGACTCCAGGTGCGAATTTTACAGAAGAGAACTACAGGAATCGAGGTCCTGTCTGCAACTAGGAAGCGCAAGGAAGTTTCTAAAGCTCTCCCGATTGGGCCCCCGTCTTCAAGCCCCGCCTGGTGTCAGGCAAGACTCTGTGTACTATAACTATCTGACACGTCCAGGGCGCCTGCCATCCCTTGCAACTAGAAATAACTAGAGACCTTAAGCCTGGACTCTTGACCCCATCTTCCTGATACCCACAGTTGCGTCGCCCTTCTTTGTCATCAATGTACATAGCTGTCTGAGCGACTGCTTCTACTGCTAAAATGTGCGTTTTAGCCATGAAAACGGTTTTATGTTCCATGTTTTTGCGGCCGTTGCATGCAATTCTGCTTTTCCATGTCAGTGTTGCACAAGGTGCCACTGTTCCCCCAGATCGACAGCCCCTCTTCTCCCGTAACCCTGTAGTCCGTGCTATGCAATGAATCCTCTTCTTGCTGTGCGTGAGTGCTTTCAACAAGAAGCGCAGTTACTACTGTGAATCCTCCTGACTAGGTGTGGGAGACGTCAGCATACCCACGATTACCACAGTGACTTACTCTTGAGAATCTGAACCGCTTCGAACTGCCAATTGCAGCACAGCACCATGTGTTTTTGGAGTGGGAAGCTACTTCTGCTAATTGCATGGCTGTAGCAGCACAAGGCACTTTGGGAGGCAGCCATATGGGCATCGGCATTTCCCAAGCTAGGGGCACTCCCGCAACCCAATGACCGTAATTTTAATGCCCAAAGAAAAGCCGCGTGTTTTCGGAATACCGACATATAGCTCATTGATACCTATCTTGCAGGGGAGAAGGAGTGTGGTAGCATGGCACCTGCTCCGCTAACACCTTCTCTGCACCATCCATCCACTTGCCTTAGAGATGCAAGCGATTTGGGATTCTGCAACGATGCAGGAAATTCAACAGGGACGCAACATGATGCCAGCGGCCACGGCAACTTCTCAACGTCTGGGTCTCCAAGGGCCTCCATATCTACCATCCAAAAGATCACCTAAAAATTGAGGTGCCCAGGTTGGTGTGGGCCATGCCTGCGAGCCCCAAATCGCGCAAATTCTCACAGAAACAACCTTCATTCAGCAAGCAAACCTGAACCCCTCAATCTCCCAAACTTTCTGAACAAAGGCAGGCCGGACCTTGATGCCCCCTGGAATAGTAATAATGATAATCAGAAGAATATTAATATTAGTAATACGAATTGTACTAACAGTATTGGTATTAGTAGAAAAAATAAAAAGTAATAATTATAACAATAGCTATAATTATAGTACGAATAATTGTAATACCAATACTACTCATAATAATAATAATAATAAAGAAATTGCAAAACTTGCCACGATGCTGTACTCAGAGACGTCTGGTTTTTTCTCAGCGGCCTCCTCATCCAGAACCATGTTAGCAATCAGCGCAACCCACTTTCATTTGATCTACTGCTTTGGATTCAAAAGTTTGGACACTAGAGTCACTCTAGGATTTGTGGATGGAAGACCGCGCCTATGAAAACATTCGCTTCGCGCCATATGAGCGCATGCCCTCTTCAGCTGAGAGGTTCGGGAGAAACGCCATGCTAAGGAATCTGCTCCCCCTGTCATTGGTCGTGCAGGTAGGCAAATCATGGGTCACTGTAAAGGCCTCTAATGCTAGCACCTTGAGGAATTGACGGGGTTTGGGTCAACCAAGTTTAAACAGATAAAACTTGATTAGAACTCTTTTTCTGACCAACAGGCACCCCCTACACACTTTGAAGGAAGAAGTCAAAGCATGCGTCACGCAAGTCCAAAGGTTTGGTCTTGTGAGTTTTGTCTCCTTGCACTGTCCCTACCCGGCAAATACTGGGGAGGATTTCTACGATTCCTCCAAGACCTTCTCGGCACCATCCATCCACTTGCCTTAGCTGAGGGCAGTTGCTGGTCATGGCATGCTGAGCCGCACAGACTTCCACTTCTGCTTCTCTTACTGCATACAAACCATATAACCACTGAATCACCTGCCACCACAATGTCACCTCTGAACCTATCCCTGATAAGGTGGCTCTGGGTGCTGTGTGCAGAGGCTACAAAAAATTCAAACGCGATGATTACGAGCAAAACCTTCATGATGGACATATGATATGAAATTGACACTCAATGGCACACATCATATCTGCTGGAGGTAGTTGTGCGCACCCCGCACTCACCCCTGGATTCTACACCTTAGGTGGCCAGCAAACTCGAACACCTTAAGCACCAAACCTCAATTTTAAACCGGAAAAAACCCAAGACCTATACCAGGAAGCCCAACAATCTTGTTGGTGTTTGGAAGAGAATATGGAAACACATTACTATTGGGATTGTTTAAGGCCTGTACAGGGATTGTAATATTCCCTTCTTCCCTACTAATAACCAATCAGAGATTGAACCCCAAAGTGCCATCAAAATTACAGAAAGGACTGTTGTGGCGTGTGCAAGACAGCTATTTTTAGAGAGATCCTTGTCCACAACGAAGATAAAAAGAGAAATATAATTCACTTGAGAAAAATGGAAGCTCCAGTTCCTTGCAAGTGTTTCTTTTGATCCCATAGGAAACTCAATAGAATCAACTGGAACTTGAGGGTT